GGTACAATCAATAGGACATGACTGATACGGGCTGAAGACCAAATGCTTTTCCTTAGCCGGCTGCTCCAGTCTCAGTGTTCCATGCCCCTCGCCAGGCTCTGTTCTCGCTGGTCCCTGAATGGTCTTGCTCTGTTAGGCTCCGTGCCTCTGAATGTGCTGTGCTGGCTTCTGCCTGGGAGAGCATCCCTTCACTCCAGACACTTTGGGTTTCTTTGTCTCTCCAACCGGAGCTGAGTTCCTTGAGGGCAGGTGCTGAATGTCTTCTCCCTGAATGCCAGCCCCTGGCACAAAGTGTGGTGTGCCACATGTATTTGTTGAGTGAATCAAAAAACTAAAAAAGATACAGGGTGAAGGGGAAACAAGGAAGCCAAGAGCAAACGAATGAAGGCACAGGGTGTGCCCTCTGACCTCATTGTAATCACTCGGCTCCCTGAAGTTTCCCATTAATCCTCACCGGAGTGAGGCTTGAGAGTGCGCTGCCGAGAGCGTCTGCCTCTACTAGCTGCTGGAACTCGAACCAAATACAACGGGAACGGCTCAGAGAATATTCTGATACTCTGTCCCAGCAGTTTCCGTAAGACTGTCGTGTTACTGGAGACAGTGCCCTCTGCAGACATGGATGCAGGTGTTGGGTGGAGGGAACTGAGAACCAAGGGAGAGATGAGAAAGGGTGGTCAGAGCTCTGATGGCCTGTCCCGAGTCCAGAGCTCCAGTCCTGGATGCACAGATAACCCGCGGGCTGGCCTTTCTGGCTGTTCCTGCAGATTTACATTTGAAAATCTCCCTCTTTGCTTTGACTTTCTCTGTTCCTTCCTTGCTACTTCCACACTCACTGATCCCCAGGTCCTCAGGAGACCAAAATGTAAGCCAGAGCAGGAGATAGGGCTTGAATTAATTTCAGGGATTTTGTGTCTTGCAGTAAAATAGAAAATCTTGCATCAGAAGTCTTGTTTATCCTGGGCTGCTGTATTTGCCATCAATTAATTTAAAAAAAAACACTTTGTTTTTCTAATGTCCACATATCTGATGTTACGATGAGAGTGTTGAGCACAGGTCTGAGAGTCAGGCAGACTTTGCCACTTTGTAGGGTGACCTTGAACATGTTCCTTTGAAGTTCTCCTCTCAAAGCTGCTTCTCTGGCTCTGTCTACATACCTGGAAGTCAGAGAACCCTGTATCGTCTGCAGTCTGCCTACTGCCTACCATACCTGTAGGGACTTCATAACCCATTTCTTTTGTGACAATTAAGGTACTACAGTCCTCATTTCACAGGCGGGCAGCCAAAGAGCTTGCCTGGGGGCATGTAATTACTGAGTACTTGGTACCCAGATAGCGAGTACCTGGTAGGAGCTGAGCTTCCACCACCCCATGTTGCTGGATGGTCCCACTTCCTTGATCGTCTGTGTTTTGGTAGAGATCTGGAAAACTCTCCCTGGTCTGGGTTTTCCCACTGTCCTAACCTCTTATTTCTTCCTCATTAAAAAGAAGGGTGGGCTTGGAATAGTTTGAACTATTCCCTGGGGGAACCTGGGAGGCTGGCATGGGAGTCTGCAGACTGCACTGAATATGCAAGAAGCTCTCCCCTGAATTCAGCTTTTGATGGGGAAATGACCACACAGGCCAAGGAAGCCATCCACTCACTTGCTCTGGGAAGGAATGATAGTGCAGCCAATTTGGCTGCCTATTCACACTGATCACAAGCTCTGATGGGTAATTATATATGTCTTTGATTAATAAAAAACGGGGCAATGAATGAATACTTAATCAACAAAGCCTGGTGGGTAGACTCAGTGGGAATTGTATAAAATTTCTGGACATGAGAGACTCCATTTTTTTTGTGTCCTGCTTATTTTTTATTTTTATTAAAGAACATTTCATATAATATAATAATTTCAGGTGTACAATATAGAGATCTGACATTTCTGTATGTTACAAATTGCTTACACTGTAAGTGTTGTTACCGTCTGTTACGACCCTAAGTCATTACGATATTATTGACTATATTCCCTATGCTGTACTTTTCAAGTAACTTACTTATTTTATCCCTGGAAGTTTGTACACCTTGATCCCCTTCACCTAGTCTGCCCATCCCCCAACCCACTTCCTCTCTGGGAGCCACAAGTCTGTTCTTTGTATTTATGAATTTGTTTCTGGGTTATTATTTGTTTGTTCATTTGCTTTGTTTTTTTACATCCCACATATAAGTGAAATCATATGGCATTTGTCTTTGTCTGACTTGTTTCACTAAGCGTAATACCCTCTAGGTCCATCCATGTTGTTGCAAATGATAAGATTTGCTCCTTTTTATGACTGCGTAATATTCCAATGTGTATATGTACCACATCTTCATCCATTCATTCTCACTGGACATTTCAGTTACTTTCATATCTTGGCTATTGTAAATAATACTGCAGTAAATATGGGTATGCCTGTATCTGTTTGAATTAGTGTTTTTGTTTTCTACAGGTAAAAACCCAGAAGTGGAATACTAGATCATATGGTGTCTCTTTTTAATTTTTTGAGGAACCTCCCTACTGCTTTTCACAGTGGCTGCACAGGTTTACATTCCCACCAACATTGCACAGGGTTCCCTTTTCTCCACATCCTCACCAACACTTGTTATTTCTTGTCTTTTGGAACCAGCCAGTCTGACTAGTGTGAGGTGATAGCTCAATGTGGTTTTGATTTGCATTTCCCTTATGACTAGTGATGTTGAGGAGAGACTCCATTTTGAAGCTCTATTTTCCTTTCTACTTAATGAACTTTTGGACTGGGCAAAGAGACCTTTTGAACTGGTCCAGAAGCAGAGTGTGTTTTTGTTTTTTTTAAATAAGTAATTGCTCGTAATGGCGTAGGGAAGGGGCATGGGACAAGCATCATGATTAACTTTTCCTGCCTATGATGAAAAATGCTGAGATAAAAATAGCATAGTAAGAACAGGAGGGACCACACCTTAGGGCTAAGATTCCATTTTAAAAACCAGGGAGTGAGGAGGTAAGATTCCTAACATATTTTACGGTAATCAGCCAATAACCTACCCTATCTTAAGGCAGGGCAAGCAGTCCTAAATGATATGTCCCCAGTGCTTGAGGGTAACCATTATCTCAGAGAAGAACAGGATCAAGAAATTCCTTGTGTTAAGTTTCTCTTAGAGAATTACCTAGAGGACAGACTATGGGTGGTGACAATGTCTCTCACTGAACATAGACATCATGAGACCACATGTCAGGCCTATGCCCTCCCCTCCCCTTCGCCCCATTCTTGAAAGCCTTAAAAGACAGAATCCTAAGCCCTTAAGCGTGCCTCCTCTCTGAGGTTGCCCACACTCCCATCTGAGTGTGTACTGTCTTACATCAAATACATTTTCCTTACATAAACCAGTCACACTTGTCTCTGAACTCTTTTCCATGATAAAGACAAGAACTCTCCAACTTCCACCTCCAGTGGTAAATGTCTGTCATTTTGCTGTTTCATTCAGCTTTCTAAGCTTAAGCACAAGTCTTCTCTCTCTGCGTCCTACTTCAGATGTAGGGAGGGCTGAGATCTCTGTTTTGGGCTTCTAGGTTCCTGTTGCCTGGGTGACCTGGAGAGAACTGCAGTGTGAGTTGCACTCTTTAGTAGCCTGCTTGAAAATCTCCTTTCTTTGCCTTTGGGAAGTTCTCAGAACATAATCTCACTCCACCCAGTGCTCCACGGCTCCCCCAAATCCTGGGGTGTTGGGGGCTTAGTTCCCATGCTGAACACTGAACGTCTAAGCGGACACTGGACGGCGGGTGACCCCGGCTTCAGGAGTTGGCCAGGAATCTGCCCTGTGCCAAGCAGTTCAGTGAGCTTCTCTTTCCTCCCTCTGTTCTTCTCTGCTCTCTGCTGCCTGCACGGCTGATGCCATTCACTGCTACTCTCATTTTAATGAATTCCTGCCTTACCTACACTTGTTTGACCTGTTCGATAATTCTTTGTTGAGCAGAGTCAAGAACCCTCCCCCGTCCAGGCTGAGGTTTCACCTAGAGTGCAGGGAGAGACCTCCCATTCGCAGCTGCCCCACAGGGCAACTGGCACCTGAACAGAGACCATTAAAAAGAATCATCAGTATGGACTTTATGGAGATAGAGTAGTTCATGAAGGCATACGGGGCATACCGGGTCTAGGTTCATTTGCGAGCACCCATGAATTAGCGGAGCAAAGTGTCAACTGAACAGCCCAGCCTGTTGGTGCCCGCCAATAATTCTTCTTTCTCCTCTTCCTCCATCCAAGTCATGTAATTGCTCCCACTTCCTCTTCCTCGTGTGAACCCCTTGCCTCCCTGTGCAGGTGGGACACTTTCTTTGGCTTGCTGCCAGGACCTGTGCTCCCCAAATTGCAAATAAAACCCCCAAATAAAGGCCTTTGTTTCTTTCAGTTTGCCTCACTGCTTCTCAGCAGACAGCGCTTTCAGAATCTGGGCACGTGGCAGGGAGTCATCAAAGGGGTCCTTGGGGGTGAAAGGGCAGGGCACCTCCCCAGGGAGTGGTCTCTGGAAAGCTGGCCAGTCCTGGCCCTTGGCTTCCTGCTTCTATGCGTGGTGTCTGCTGGCAGCCCGGGGAGCCTGCGACCAGAGAAGAAGGTGGAGCTGGTGGGCAAATGCGGAAAAATGTGTTCTGCGCCCACCCAAGTGGTTAAGGTAAACACATTGCATGGGGGGCAGTGTGGCCCCATGTTTGCAGGTGCCTCTTTCCTCAGTGTGCTGAGTTTGTGATCTTGGTGGGTCTGCCTCCGCACGCCGCGACAGTATGGAAGCAGACCTGGTTAGGGGAGGGGAGGTGAGGATGCTGGGAGCCTGAACCAGAATCTCAAGAGACAAAATCAGACTCCGGGGCAGAGGCACAGAAGGACAGGGGAGCCCAGGGGGCTGCGGAAAAGGGTGCGGGAGACGGTGAGTGAGGGAGAAATAGGAAGTGAGGCAGAATGAGAGGGGCTGGGCCTCCCTGGACACTGCATTTATCTTGGCCCTTCCGGCCTGCCTGGGACGTGGTTAGGAGGGGCGGTTAGAGGCGAGGCACGAATCCCAGCAGCTCAGGGCGCGGAGCCCTGGGGGAGTCCTGCCGGTAGGACGCGGGGCAGGGTTGTGGGGCAGGGCTGTGAGACAAGGGGCCCTGGTGGCAGAGGGACAGCAGGCAGAGTGGCAGGGGAGAATGGGTCATGGGGACAGGGCGGCAGAGGGCAGTGGAGCAGGGGGCTGTGGTCCGGGCCGAATGGGTGGGTGGTGAGGTGGGCTGACCACTGGGGTACCTCCGGGGGTGGTGCTAGAGGGGAGTCAGGGGTGCAGGGTTGGCTTCTGGGCGCTTTCCTGGAAAATGGTGAGGGGTGGAGGGGCAGCAGAGGGCAGGTTCTGGGAGGACTAGCCAGGGTCAGGGAGGATCATGGGGAGTCAGATACTTCTGGCAAATGACTGGCCACTTTGTGACTGACTTCGTCTTGGGGCAGTTTACAAAATCTCCTGGTGCTTTCACTTCACTGTCAGAAAACTGAAGACAAGGTAACAGTAACTCTGCTGGGTTGTTGTGAGGACGCATACGAAGTCCCCCCACTCCCTGTGCCTGGTTCATAGCGGCTGCTACTATTTTAGCGCCCTGTGCCTGTTCCCCACCTGCTGCCCTGGAATGGAGAGGCTTTTTGCAGCTGTTTCTAACAGCTGGCCTCTTCCTCTACCTCCAAGGAATGCTTTGTCCACGTCTGCCCTTCCCACAAGCAGCCTCTGCCTTATTCTACAGGATCCAGAGCATTACCCACTGACGGTTTTTGACTAAGCCTGAAACACCCAGAACCAGAACAGAAGGGCCTGCCAGAGGAAAATTCCAGGTTCTCAAGTGCCAAGCCTTGCTGGCCCTGTGGTCAGCCCAGGAGGCCCCCAGTGGGATTCAAGGACTGGCTCCATATGGGACCATGTCGGGTCAGGGCCTGCCCCTTCGCGTGGCCACGCTGTTGACAGGGCTGCTGGAATGCCTTGGCTTCGCGGGCGTCCTCTTCGGCTGGGCGTCACTGGTGTTTGTCTTCAAAACTGAGCATTACTTTGAGGAGTTATGTGACCTGAATGTGGGGCCGTTGGGCAATGCCACCGGACAGGCAGGTAAGGGAGTGACGACTTCCTTCGGGAAGCTGAGTCTGGTTCCCAGGCAGCAGGAAGTGGTAGGCAGGATTCTACCCTCTGCCCTCCCTGCCAGTCTTCCTGTGGTGAGAGGAGAGAGTGTCAGCCCGGCCCCAACCCAGCCTTGTCTAGCAGGTGCCTGTGGAAGGAAGTACCAGCTGCTGGGGGGTGCTAAGAAGCAGTCATATTTCACCTCACCTAAGGGAGAGCTTTCCATCACGGGGCAGGCTGTCCAGGATGGCAGAGGCTGCCCTAGTGGGGAGCCAGGCTGGGTACCCACCTGGCAGGAAGCCTGGGATGGATGGGAAGTGGGCCCATCCAGCTTGGGCCCTGAAATGTCCCTTTCTTTCCTCCAGGCTGCAAATCTCAGGACGAGAGGTTCTCACTCATCTTTACTCTGGCGTCCTTCATGAATAACTTCATGACCTTTCCCACCGGCTACGTCTTTGACTATTTCAAGACCACTGTGGCCCGCCTCATAGCCATGTAAGTCCCCAGGGCCCAGCCTGGGCTGAGGTATCAGGAGGAATTCTGGCAGCAGCCTCACATGCTGTGGTGGGGTGGGGTGGGGGAACTCAGGTTAGGTGACTGAGCAGTCCTGCCAGCCCCAGCCCCGGCCCCAGCCCCAGCAGCTGTTAGGATCAGCCCAGGATGTGGACTCTTTGTAGATCTTCTTTCCTCGCCCTAACTTCCCTTTCCTCAACTCATTCCTCTGCTCCATGTTAACGTGTGTTCCATACGACGTGCTGAGTTAAGCAGAATCCAGGCCTAGATCCCGGGACGACTGGATCAGGGTCACTAAGTTAGCAAAACCTAAAACTGTCCCTTTGCCTTCACCCTGGGGATTCATGTCCATGTAGCAGACATGACAGCAGGTCACTCAGGATTAATTGTCATCCTCCTCACCCATCACTAATCAAAGCCTTAGTTAGGAAGGTCATCCGGGTATTTCCAGTGGTGGGATTTCAGGGCCCCTCTGAGCGGAGGGGAGATGGTGGGGTTTCCCATGCACATGAGTCACGGAGGATAAGGGCCATGAATTTGCTTGCACAACTGCCACTGCAGCTGGCCAGGTTCAGCGATAAGCTGTCCTGCCAGGGGCTGATAGGACCCAGAGCAGGTGCCTCCTGGAAGATATGTGTGAGATTAGTTGTCAGATACAGGGACTGCCGGGCCAGGAAATAGCTGAAGAGTAAAGCAAGTCCCTGCTCTTAAACCTTTGGTTGTAAGCCTTCATCTCAGCCCTTGGCTCCTGTCTCTTCCTCTTCCCGCTCCCTCCTCGGGCCCCTCCCTCTTCTGCACCCTTAGCGTGAGAAGAAAAACTTTCTTCCTGTGTTTCTTCTTCACTGTTATGCAGAACGCCTCATTCCGACTCTACTGGTCACCAATGTAGTGGGGGTTCCCACACCAGGCAATTCTGTGACACCAGGTAATTGTCCAACAATCTAATGCAATCTTGACACTACCTCCTAGAGATATGGTCACATCCCACAGGTTAAGGGCTCAGCCCCACCAGGCTGGCCCCAACCCCTACTTCAGATGCCAACTGCAAGTGGTAGGGCATCAGGTTACCCACAAATTCTGCCAGACTTGGCTACAAACTGGAGGTTCCCATGGCCTCCCCCCACTTTGGTTCAATTAATGTGCTAGAACAGCTTGCAGAACTCGTGGAAACACTTGAGTGGTTACTAGTTTATGGAAGGCTGTGAGAAAGGGTACAGATGAGTAGCCAGATGAAGAGACGCACAGGGTGAGGTCTGGGAGGGTCTCGAGCCCAGGAGGAGCTTCTGTCCCAGGGGAGGTGGGGTGTGTCTACCTCCTGGCACATGGATGTGATCACCCACCTGGAAGCTCTCTGAAAGCCCTGCTTTTGGGATTTTACACAGTTTTCCTCACACAGGCATGAGCAGCAATCAGGTGATTCCAGCTCTTCTCCCTTTCTGGAGAAGTCGCGGGATGGCAGGACTGAAAATGCCAAGCTTCTTGGTGTGTCTGGTGACCAAGTCCCATCCAGGAAGCACCCAGGAGCCCACCAGGAGTTGCCTCATTAGTACGAAAGACACTCTTAGAGCTTTTATCATTTAGGAATTTATAAGAGTTTAGGAGCCTGTGTTAAGGACAGAGGACAAGGACCAAATACATATTTCTTATTATAAACCACGATATCACAGTCTACTCCCTGGTCTTCAAACACAGATCTCTTAGAGCAAATGAGTCATGAAGGTCAAAAGATACTGGTTCTTAACTGAAACATGTTCAGTAATTGATAACCATCCAGTCCATCATCATATCATACGAAAATGTCTCCCAGGGCCACATAGGATTGCAGGCTTCCGTTCAACTGTCAGGTTTCCAAAGCAGGGGTGACCTCAGCAATATATGGCTTCACCCTGGAAGGCATCTGGTATAATCGAGCTAAGAGACAATATCATCCCCTGCACTGAGCCTCTCTAGAGGTATTAAAGTAATATTGAATTTCCCTCATGACATAACCCGCTTATTCATTCCCTTGCCTTAGCCACTGTCTTTCCTTCTCTCACTTATACCCAAATTCTTCTGCCTTTAAAGGCACGTGAGCATTAGGTTTGGCCACTGGGCTGGTCTAGGTGGTCGGCAGTGACGCTAGTCTAGCGAGTGCCTCCACCTCAGTGTACTCCCTAGAGAATTGTCCCTACCAGCACTTGGGCTTCAATTCCACACCTTGTGGCCTCAGGCAGTCTTACTGGTGCCAGTATGTCCAACTAATGTGGCTTGAAGGCAGGTTTACATGCCTTCCGTTTTACTAGGTAAGGGAAACGATCCCCAGTCAGATAGAGTCTGTACCCATAGCAATCAGGTAAAGACAGGCAAGCATTTCGCAGAAAGTCTGTGCAAACATACCAATCCTCCTATAAATTTTCTCCAGAATTCCCTCCCTCAACCCTGAGGTTCCTAACTGTAGCTGCCTCAGGACTTCATCAGCAGGTTTTGGTTTTACGATAGTAGGTAGGTAAAGTGTTCCTGGTATGACACAATATCTATTCTCATAAAACCTTCAGGTAAAGGAGGCACAAGTTTGAACATTCCAATTTTTCATAATCTTACCAGCTCTTACATCTTGGTTCTTTCAATCTAATCTAGTTTGTGTTAGGGCTTCACCAGTGGGTCTTAGCGCCACAGTGCGTGAATCTCCTCTATCAAGGAGTCCTGGAAACCTCTTCTCCACCCCCTGACCATTCTACCCACTTTTGTGCACAAGGTGAGGGGTACCAGAGAGGGGTAGAGTCAGGGGACCTTGGTCCCTTGGTCAATCTTTAACTTGATCAGTCTGCCTACCCATTGCCCCAATTGATTGTGGGTCAGGTTTCTTGTTATAATCTCTGCCTTCAGGCTTTCAAATTTTTTCCAAACTGGGATGCATGGACTGGACTTGCTTGGGGGTCCTTTAATGCTGGGAGACCAGCAGGGGGCCCATTTGGCCCACCCAACCTTTGGTAGTGCTGTATTAATACCTTTGTTTTAATCCCATCAATGTCTGTTTTATTTACTCCATTATCCTTATAATAACCACCTGAAGATTTCCACGCTGCTGGGACGGGTCCCGTGACTGTCCTCTTTCTTTTTCTTCTTTGTTGCACTCCTATCAATGTTTGCTTTACTCGCCTTATTCCTTAATAACCATTTAAAAGTTATTATCCTGTGAAGAGAATCTCTTGATTCTCTGCCTTTCCCCATTCTCTTGTTGATTAACCTAATATATTTATTAGCATCTGTAAGACCCAAGAGGGGAATCTGAACAGCAAATTTAAGAAGGTTTACCAAACTGTTTTTCAGTTTTGCAGCAGTAAGATTAAACTGGTTGTACAGGTGAAAGGGGCCCCTTAACCACAGCATTCGCCACGACCTGGGTAACAGGCACACTGAGCCAGTGAGCATCCTGGCCATCACAAAGCCATCCCCACATGGCTTGCATCCAGTGTGCATCAGCTGCTCCATCTGGGTTGTTCCATTTATAGGGGCACATGGACCTCATGGCTTTTATCCAGTCCACCAGGCTGGCTGTTCCCTCAGGCATAGCCTTCTGTGTGTCTGGGTCACGTGCAGCCATCCATGATTGTTCTATAGTGGCTGTTCCACACACGCTCTTCCACTAAGCAGCGTTCAGAACCAGACACAGAAGCCGAAGCACTTAACTGTCATCGTCCTTTCCACTAAAGGCTTTTCAGGAAGCTGATGAGGCCCATTCACAAAATGCAACAACTCCTCAAGCTGTGTCCCCCCAGGTGGGGCTCAGTAGTGTCCTGGTTTTGCCTGTCTCTGACATGAACCACCTTCTTGGTGACCAGAGGGCTTAGAGGCACTTTCTGCTATCCTTATGTAATTTTTGCCCTGGGGTGTGGCTTTGAGGTTAGTGGCCAAAGCTCAGAGTGACCAAAATCAGAACCTGGTCTCCCATCAAGGTCTGACCTCACACTCTTAATTTCATTTTAGAGAAATTTTAATTTTAATTTCATTTCAAATTAATTTCATTTATTATAGGCAACAATAACAAGAGATTGTGTATTTCACCTTTTTCTTATCAGTTTGCATTTCCTTATGTTTCCAGTGAGCTGCTCTCCAGGGGCTGGGTCTGCCTCAAAATCCCACTGATGGCATTTACTTTAGTGCCTGATTTCAGCACAGCTGCTGCTGCGCACCAGGGGTGACCACGTGGCCATCCAGGGGTCAGCGGGTCCTCATCTCCCTCTACACCTCTCCTGTGTTTCACATAGAACACTTCACTTCTGATATTTCTGATCACCAAATGTGTGTGTGTGTGTGTGTGTGTGTATGTGTGTTTCCACCCCACACCGGGTGGGTCTCCTACATTAAACTCTATTCTGACACTGTCAACCGAGAGAGAGTGACAGATCCTACAGATTAAAGGCTCAGTCCCACGAGGTTGCCCCCCACTTCAGGAGCCAGTTGTAAGTGGTAAGTCCCTAAATTACCCACAAATTCTGTCCAACGTGGTCACAAATCAGAGGTTCCCATGACCTCCTCCCCTTTGGATTGGAATATTTGCTAGAACAGCTCACAGGACTCAGGGAAACACGTCTACCAGTTTATGAAAGGCTATGATGAAGGGTATAGATGAAAATCCAGATGAAGAGATGCACAGAGAGAGGCCTGGGAGAGTCCTGAGCACGGAGCTCCTGTCCCTGGGGAGTTGAGGGCACGCCCCCTCTTGGTGCATGGATGTGGTCACCCATCTGGAAACTCTCCAAAGTCCCTACTACTGGGATTTTAGGGAGGCTTCCTCACATAGGCATAATCGATCATTAACCATTTCCAGGAGAAGTCGGGGGAGGGCAGGGCCAAAAATACCAAGCTTCTGATCATGGCTTGCTCCTTTTGGTGGCCGAACCCCATCCAGGAACCATCAAGGGGTCCCCAGAGTCACCTCATTAGAACAAACTATGCCTTTAGAGCTGCTATCACTTGGGAATGTACCGGCATTTCAGGAACCCTATGTCAGGGACTAAGAACAAGAACCAAATGCATATCTCTTAATATAAGTCAGAACACCACACAAGGGCCCTGCTTTTATTACTACAGGCCTTACAAGACCCCAAACTGCCAAGAGCTCCTCATAACCCTGGGATCAGGGACCTGAAATTATAGCACCCTGAACTTTAAATGGGGTCTATATCAGTCCAATCATTTCCTTTTATAGACAAGGCTGCTGAGGCCAGAGAAGGGCAGTGCCTTGCATAAGGTCACTCAGCGAGGAGGAATTAGAACTCAAGGCTTTGATCTGTAGACGGGGCATTAACCTCTTTCTCCAAGGGACTGGCCTCCTGGGACTCCCAGATGGGAGGGCTGTGGCCCTACCCACTCTTCCCCTCCGGGTTGCTCTTCCTGAGGACATCCTCTCTGGTTCTGTATTTCAGAGTTCTCTACACCAGCGCCACGCTCACCATTGCCTTCACCTCTGCAGGTGAGTGCTGTTAGGTGGGAGCAGCACAGGCGCAGGGGTTCCTGGTGTATGTGGGGGTGCAGAGGACCATGGACAGGAGGCACTGATCCCCATAGTTTTCCAAACATCCACAGGCCTTGGGCTTCAAAGAATTCTTGAGGGCATTGTTGCTGGTCTGTGAGAACAGTTCAGTTGACTGAGAAGTGCAAACACTAAGGGCAACGGAGGCGTTGCTTCCAAGAACAGAAGTCATTTACAAAATTACACCCTTCTTCTTGTACATGTTATCATGTCCTCTCTCTTTTTAAACAAAATAACGTGAAAGACAGTTGGCTTTTGAGAATATCCTTCCTTAGTAGGGTGGAGTCTGACAACCCTACTGTGCTTACATTTTCTTGTCAATTTTTACTGGTCTATAAACATACACAATTCCCAAAGTTTGGAAATCCCAGTCTGGTTCATTTCCTCTTTTCCCCACTGTGTAGAGGAGAAAACTGGCAGGAGAGAGGGCCCTTGCAAAGACTTGCCCAAAGCTGCGGAGTGATTTGGTGGGAAGTGGGCTTGGGGGCCCCGGGCTGGGCTCTCTTCGGGTCCTTCCCTGTGCTGGCCCAGAGATGCTGTCCACTACTCCTCCCTGGGGTCAGATCACGTGGCTCGATTTGTGGATGAGGAAGTAGAAGTACATAACTTGTGTGTGTGTCATACCTGTGCTGAAGCCTGACATGTCACTGGGTCATCTCCATCTGTGCTCAGCAAATACCAGCTGAGTGTCTTTGTCCAAACAGATCTCACGAGATAGCTGGGCACCTCAAGCCAGTTATTTAAAACTACTCCCCTCATCAAACTGGCTTCCTCTTATCTAAAAGCCTGTAAGTGGCTTTCAAGTGGCTGAATGTGTGTGGCTGGGTATGTTTGGCTCATATTTGTGGATCATTTGAGCCACTATTTTCCCTTCTATAAAGTAGGGCTTTTTGTTTTGGGGAAAAGCTTTGACATCACACTGACCCTATTGTGAAAGAAATGTCATCCACCTTTAGTGCATTAGCAGAGATGTGCCTTTTATAAAGGCAGAAATCAAATGGTAGATGGTGTAGATTCTCTAAAATTAGCAGCTTGCAGTGCCTCTCAAGGTATAGAAAATAGTTACTTCAGAGGATATTAGGAAGCACGTACATGGTACATTAACAAACATTGAATCACCTGGTGGAAAAGTTATTCCCTTTTCTTCTTTCAGTCCTCTGATTGCATGAACAAAAATCTTTATGTGGGGCTGGTGTGATTTTCAGCCTTTGAATATTGTGAGGACCACAGCATTCAGTTACAATTCAGTAACATGGTTTTCCTTTCATTGTATTTATTTTTATATTTACTGTCTATTCACAACAAGCAACACAAATGGCTTTTCAGCTTACAGTAGTGATATACAGTTTCCTTTAAAAATAATAGCTTTCCTTTGGGTAAAAGTGAGTCAAACTACAGAAAACATTTTAGCAAATGTAGGACAGGTATGGGTTATGGCTAAAATCATGAAGGAGGACAGAGTCTATAGTTTGGGAAAGGCTGAGTGATTAGGGGCTCCTCACACGTGCCACTTCAGTTTTGCTGTTACCCACCACTTTTCAGACCTATCGTAATGATTTTTTGGACGGTGGTCTTTTCAAGGGCAGGAAGTTCCTTAACTCGTCCTGCATGTCCAATGCCAAGCACGGTGCCTGGCTCGAGGTTTTGTGAACCGAGGAAAGATGATCCATGGCCATTTTCTCACTCAGTTTCCCAGCGCCCTATGAGGTAGGAAGAGCAGGGACTGTCATTCCTGTTTAGCAGATGACGTGACTGAGTCAGATTCAGAATCCAGCTCCAAGTTATGCGGGGAATTAGAGGCTGGGCCCAGGCTTCTCTCTCCCACAAGGATGAATAGGGGTTTAGTGAAGGTAGAAAGCAGACGTTCACTTTGGATCCTGCCTCCATGTGGAGACCACCAGGTCTGCCACAGACTGAGGGCCGTCTTTGGTGGGGATGAAGGTGGCTCAGGAGACCTATGCAGGGTCCCTCCACATTGACATTTGGGGGGTCTTGACCAGTACCCCCAAGACCCTTGAAGGGTGCTAGAAGGCTGGCTAGAATTGCAGCCCTGCCCCCAGGATTGTCGGGGTTTTGGAGCAGGTGGAAGCCGGAGTTTGGGGCTCCATGTTTGGGGTGCACTATGACACCCGCCCACCCGTGTCTGTGCTCCAGACTCAGCCATGCTGCTCTTCCTGGCCATGCCCATGCTCTCCGTTGGAGGAATCCTGTTTCTGATCACCAACCTGCAGGTGTGATCCTACGCTAGTCCCAGGCACCTGGCAGGATGTTGGGGAGGCTGGGAGGAGGGAGAAGCACTTTCCTACATTGGGTGCCTCAAGCAGGGCTGGCCCAAGCCAGGGTGGTAGCTTCTGGAGTGGAGGGTGGGTCTGGGTATAATGAGGGCCTGGCACGTATGGGTGCCCAGGGAACAGTTATTTCATGAACACAGACGTGATTCTGGCTGGTCATGTGTTTTCAGATTGGGAACCTGTTTGGCCAGCACCGCTCGACCATCATCACCCTCTACAACGGAGCATTTGACTCTTCCTCGGCTGTCTTCCTTATCATTAAGGTAAAAAACACAATAGCCAACAATGATTGAACACTTATATATGCCAGACACTCGTCTTGTGAACTGTGTATGATTTCTCTCCACCAGCTCTCCTGCAGTAGTAATTGTGACACTTGAACTTGAACCCAGGCCTGTATGGTTCTACAGCCTGAGCGTGGAATGATTAAGCTCCTTCTTTATACTTACCCAGGATTTTTGAGTAGAGGCTGGGAAGGCATGGCTACGATGTGTTTGGGTCAGTGTTGGGTGGAGATTGGGAGCATTTTAGAGTGGGATGTTTGCGCCTGTGAGCTTTTTGTTTGGACAAGGAGGTGGGAGATGACTAGTGGGGGCAGTGGGAACAGATACAGACACAGGCCTCTCTACCTGTCCGAAAGGCTGATGTTGGGGATTTGAGGGATGGCTATTGCCAGTGCTATTAGTAGCCCACCTAACAACCATTCCACCTTGTTCGTTATGAATAAATTCATCTGGGCAGTGATGTACCCTCCCCAGGGGATGAATCCTGATTGATCTAAACCAATGGTGGCAACCCCTTTCCCCCTTATTACTGATGGGTAGAGGTGGTCCTATTATCCAGACTTTGTTAATGAGATGAAGGGGGTTGTACACTGGAAGATTTTACAGGAAGTTTGTCTTCCCTGGTGGAATGTGGGAGTAGCAAAAAGAAAGCCTCCCTCCTTGGTCCCCCTTTCCACCCTTCTTTGAACATTGTGGTGGTAGGATGTGATAGCTGGAGTTGTGGCAGCTGTGCTGAGATTATGAGGTAAGAAGCTGGAGCACAAAAGCTAGCACACTAAGGATGACTGAGGAAAAGGAATGAGAGTGTAGGTCCTTGATCCCCCAAGCTCCCAGCTTGGGACTTCCTTCTAGGCTTTGTGTTAGGCCAGAGGCAGCTGGCACAGCCTGTGGGCCATAGCAGAGGAGAAGACTGTCACCCAGGTATGAGACCAGCTTAGTCCTTTGGCTTGGAGGGTCACCCAGAGACTGAGTCTTGGGGCACTTACTCAAGCCTTTCTACCCCTAGTACGAGAGCCACTTTCCAGGTTCTATGTCCTTCCTGTGGATGTGCCTGCTGCTCTCTCCTCCCTCCCTCGAGTTGGAAGGAGGGAGAATGTCAGAGCAGGAGCTGCTGCTCTTAGTTTGACCTGACCTTGCTGCCACTTACTCTAATCTTGAGAGATTCATTGTGCCTCTCTAGGTATCACACTCCGTGAAACAAGGAGGTTGGGCTTGACGAACAGCTTTTAGACTGGTTATTGAGGATCCCTGAGGGGGCTGTCCTGGCAGCCACCATTCTATTTTCTGTTTCAGTGAATTTGGCCACTCTAGGGAACTTATATAAGTGGCATTATGCAGTATCTGTCTTTTGGGGACTGGCTTATCTCACTTACCATAATGTCCTCAAGGTTCGTCCATGTTGTAGCATGTGTCGGAATTCCCTTCCTTTTTAAGGGTGAATAATAGTCCATTGTATGTATCAGTCACATCGTGTTTCTCCCATTATCTGTGGATGGGCAGTTGGGTTGCTTCTAGCTTTCAGATGTTATGAATATTGCTGCTATGGATATGGGTGTTACCCTGACTTTCCCCCTCCCTTTTCTGCAGCTCCTTTATGAACAAGGCATCAGCCTCAGGGCCTCCTTCAGCTTCCTTTCCATCTGCAGTGCCTGGCATGTTGGGCGTACTTTCCTCCTGATGCCCTGGGGACACATCCCCTATCCACTGCCTGCCAAGTACAGCTATGGGTAAGGACCGTGATCTGTTGATTACGGGCTGGGGCCCTTACCTGATCTGGGGCAGGAAGCTGAGGGTGGGACAGACATGGTTGTGGATGGGCAGAGGAGACCTGTTCCAGGGCAGGAGGATGAAACCAGCAGTGTACCAGTCAGCTATTTCTGCACAGCAAACTACCCCAGACTGCAGTGGCATTTGTTATCTTGTTGAGTCTTTGGGTGGCTACCTAGTTCTACTGATCAAAGACAGATTTGGATGAACTTGAGAAGCCTCACCCATGCCTCTAATCATCTGGTGGGCTAGCTGGGGGCTGACTGGTCTAGGATGGTGAGGGTTTCTCTGGCAGTCATTTGTGGCGACAAGGATGACTGGGTCACATGACTCTCATCTTCCAGCAGGGCTTCCATCTAGGGCTTGTGTGTGTGTGGTGGTTCCGAGAGAGAGTGCAGAAATGCGCAAGATTTATTGAGGGGTAGGGCTGGAGTTGGCATGTCTCTTGTGCTGCATTCTCTTGTCTGCAGCAGCTCACAAGGCCAGCCTGGATTCAGAGCAGCAGAGTCCCATTGCCAAGGGTGGAGAACAGAGGAGGTGAAGAAATGTGACCGTTTTTGGCAGTCAACACTGCAGGCAGTAGCGAGATGGCTTTCCTTTGCTACTGACTTACTGTTTGCCAGACCTCATGTTCTCTCTGATTCCATCTCATGGTAATCCTCTCAGAGAGGTGTCCTTCTCTCCATTTTCCAAATGAGAAAAACGAGGCTCAGATGAATTAAGTGTGAGCCATGCTTCTGCAGCTAGGAGAACACACCTAGAGCTGGGATGTGAACCCAGGCATGTCCTTCTTTTTCCAAGCTTCCCAAACTTCGCTGCATATTAGAATCACTAGGAGATCTCTAAAACACGTGGGAGCCTGGCTTCTATGCCCAGACACTCCGATTCAGCTGATCTGGGCACCAGGATTATTAAAGATGATCCCATGTGCAGTGACATGTGGCATCCCCTGCACTGTTCCCTCAAGCCTGAATCTCAGGCTCAGCTTACAGCCCTTGGGGTGGGTGGATGGGGCTTCTATTTCCATAGCCTGTGCTCTGGAAATGGCACCAGACAGGAAAACAGGGAAGTAACTGAGGCGGGAGCACTGGAGCTACAGTCGAAGGAAGGTAAGCCCTGCTGGCTGGGGCCCCCCTCCCCGCTGGAACCTGGCCTTTCTCTGCATTACCTGGTTCCTCACCTTGTTTGTGTGGTGGTTCTGAGAGCGAGTGCAGCATCGGGGAGAGGGAGGCGGGGAAAAGCCTGGAGGGGCTTCTCAACCCCCTCATGTTACAGAGGCCCCAGAGAGAGGCAAGACTTGGGTCTTTTTCCTCCTTTCTGTCCCTCTTTGCTCTCTCATTTCATCCTGCTCCCAGCCTCTAAAGTCAGCCTTCCATCAATCACCCCTGAGTCCCAAACCTGCCTCGTTTGTCTGCATTTCTGCAGGTCTCTGGGGCCTGCCCTTCCTCACTGTCCCCTCTCCATGGCCCCTCTGTCTCTTTTGGGTCTTTGGTTACAAACATCACAAGCCGCTGCGGACTAACGCAGAAACGAGAATAGGTCTCTGGGCAGCTCACAGGGTCAAGGGGAGAATGAACTTGCCAGTCTCCAGGCAGAGTAGAACTGAGACACCCTGGAGATTGCAGTCTAAGGACTCAGCCAGTTTCTTCTCCAGGAAGAGCAATCAAGTTGGTCAGCCGAGGTGAGGAGAGAACCCTTAATTCACAGTCCCATCTGGACGGTGAAGAATCAGGCAGGGCAGGATTTCCAGAAGACGCTCAGGATCCTGGTCCTGAAGGAAAATGAGGGCATGTGGAGCAACTGAAACAATTGCTGACTATTTGGGAGGATCCTTCAAAGCTGTAGGGCCAGGAAGACAAAGGCATGGAGGTGGGGATGCGCCAGCTGTAGACAGCTTGGAGAGCAGGCCACGTGAGTTCTGGGAGGCGAGAATAGTGGGTAAACGTGCTCTTTAGACTGTCCCAGTAAGGCCTCTACATTCTTGTCCATCCCTTCCTCTACTTTCCTTGTAATTCATCCCAGATCCTCCTGTTCCCATCAGAGACCCTGGGACCAGAGCAGGAGCAGGAAGCCCGCTCTTTCTGGAGCTACGCGTTCTCTCGGCGCTTTGCCTGGCACCTGGTGTGGCTGTCTGTGATACAGCTGTGGCACTTTCTCTTCATCGGCACCCTTAACTCCCTGCTGACCAACCTGGCCAGTGGGGATACAGTGCTAGGTAGGTGGTGGGGCTGGGAGGCAGCCCACCAGCGCAGCCCAGCTGGGGACTTGGAATCTCCAGGGGTGTGCGTGCTGAGCTCAGCAGGGCTCGGGGGAAGGGCTCCGAAGGAAGGGCTGCGCTGGAGTGTGGGGAGGAGGGTTGCGTGGGGCACAGGCAGGGTGGGAGGAGCAGGGTGGGAGAGCCCTCTCCTCTAAGGCAGTCCTGGGAATGTCTCATCCCCTGACCACTCCTTGCCCACTGCAGTCAGCACCTACACAAACGCCTTTGCCATCACTCAGTTCTTCGGAGTTCTGTGTGCCCCCTGGAATGGCCTACTCATGGACCACCTGAAACACAAGTACCAGAAGAAAGCGAGAAGGACCGGTAAGACCTGGGCTGCAGAGCATCAGGGAACCAGTGGTGGAGAGAACTTCATTCAGTTTCATGCCTATCTTCTCTTTTATTCTTAATCCTTTTCTAATTGCATTTTCCCATCTGTCCATCCATCCATCCATCCATCCATCCATCCATCCATCCATCCATCCATTCATCTGTCCATCCATCCAACCACTAGTCACTGAGAGCCAATTATATGCCAGTCACAGTTCCAGATTCAACCACGGGCGAGACAGATAGGTCTTGTTCTCAAACTGTTCTCAGCCTGAAGGATGGGTAAGAAGTGAGGAGAGGAGGGCATGGGCCTGAGAAAGTGGCCCAGGAGTCAGGATGCTGAAGGCGAGAGTGAAACGCTGGGGAGTCCCAGAAAATGAGCCAGGCTGCAAAGGCACAGAGGATGGGGGGAAGGGGCTGGGAGAGAGTGCGGGGAGAAGGGGAAGCCGGCACACCATGCTGGGGAGCTCGGGCAGGATCCTTGGACATGAATGGAGGAATGTAGGGTGCTGAGATATTTTAAGCTGCGGCAGTTGGGGGTGGGGATGGACAAAAGTAGAGTGACATTTCTCCTACTTCCCAGTATCCCTTCTCCTCTCTCGCGGAGTCTTTTAAAACAAATCTCAGGCATCAAATCATTGCATCGGTAAATACTTCAGTTTGTATCCCTAATAAATAAGTCCCCTTCTCCTTAAACATCAACATAGTATCATCATCACATCTTAAAAATCAATAATTTATTAATATCATCTAATATGCATCCTGCTCAAATTTCCCTAATTGTCTCAAATATGTGTTTACAGTTGATTTTCCAAATTAGCATCCACCAGAGACCATACACAGTGTATTTGGTTGAGGTGCCTTTTGTATCTTTTTAAATCTATGTGTCTTTACTCCCATATTTCTTATTGTCATTTATTTATCTTGTCATTTATTTGTTGAACGTCATTCATCTTGTCAAATCTCCCACATCTTGGATTTGGGATCGTTTTGGTGTCATTTAAAAGTGTTTCTTTGATTGGGTCTTTCCTGTAAACAGGCAGAATGGAGGCTCAATTTAATATTTTTTGGCAAGAATAATTCAGAGGTGGAGCCGTGGGCTTCCTGTGGGCTCCTATCAGCAGGCCCCTGGTATCAGTTGTCCCCATTCTTAGCATGTTAAGATTGATCATTGGGTTCAGACATTGTCAGTCTGATCCACTCATTTGGAGGTTTCCCATAAGCTGCATGACTAATGATTTCAGCAGCAGTTGGTGATCACTGCCTGGACCCATTATTTTATTAGGGCTGCAAAAGGGTGATTTTCTATTTCTGTCTGTCCTTATGCTTTTTATAGCTAGAGTCCCTCGAAAGAGAAAAGCTGTCCCCCATTAACAACTTTGTACCCTGAAATAAATGTTTGGTTTTTCCCCTGTTTACCAGCCTCAGAATAATGAGTTGGTGCCCTAGAAATCCCCAAGAAATACTTCTTGTCATTCTCTTTTAAAATATCATTTTAAATGTATTTGATGGGTTTCAACCCATTTTCCATCATGATTCTTCTTTGTGTTCAAATTGTCCCATCTTTGGCCCTTGGGAATGTTACCAATCCAGTATCTGTGTCCTTTAGATACAATCCCATTAGTTTAGAGGGTGTCTACTTTCTAGCACAATGAGACGTCCAGGTCCAATTCACTAGGAATGTTTGCTGCGCCAGATCTGAAACCAGCCATTTCTCCCAGTAGCCCTGGGTCCCTTTAAATGGGAAATGGTATTTAAGACTGCAATCTGGACATTATTTAGGCCTCAGAGAGAGGTAAGATATACATAATTTGTCAGAAGAAAAATGACATCATGGATATTCAATACTGACATTTTAATTCAAATTTAACTTCCTTTATTTTACATTTGTGTCTTTTTCCCTCTGAAAACCATGGTTCCTAACAATACTATGTACACATACTATATGTATACATATATACATACACTACATACTATATATACATGCTATGTACTATATACATATACATATATGCAGTATTTATAAATATGTTTTATGCATGATTACTGGTTTAGCAATATCAATACTATTAACAACAGAACAGTAGTTAAATGCTGTTGCCTTTTCCTCCCTCCCTCCCTCCTTCTCTCACCCTTAGCATATCTTTCCCAAGAGATGTACAAATAACTGTGCTCTAAGAGTCACCAACTTGACGTGAAGTTATGTTTATTGATTTTATTTTGTTTCTGATTTTTTGGGATTGCTTTGTTTCCTTCCTATTATTTACTTTTATTGATACACAGTCTTGTATTAGTTTCAAGCATACAACACAGTGGTTCAGCAGTTACCCATATCATTAACTCCTCATCCCCACTAGAACAGTCACTATCTGTCAACATAGATGTTACAGAGTCACCGGCTGTATTCTCCATGCTGTGCTACTCTCCCCGTGACCAACCTACATTATGATAGAGAATTTTTGTGTGCCTCTTTATCCCTGTCACCTATTATTTTTACTTAATTTTTATCTTTTAAGCATTTGTACATCGAACCTTTACATTTTTCCAAAGCCCAAACTGTGAAACCATATGTATTCCAGGAAGTGTAGTTTTCCTCTCTGTTTTCTGGACCCCATTCCTTCCTCCCTTTAGGTAATTATTTCCATTGTTAAAAAAAATAACAGACATTACATATAATATGTAATGTATTCATACTTTTATGAATGATTGTATTATGGTATGATACTGTTATGTTGTATGTGTATACACAAGCGTATGTATTTTTCATCTCTCCCCTCCTTAGATAGAGGTAGCATAGCGCCCGCTCTGTCCTGTTGTTTTCTGTGTGCCTCTCCCTCAGCAGGGCCCTCTCCTGTTCTGCCAGCCTTAGCCTGGTTGGTATGTGGCTGCCTCACTGGTGTTCATACAGCGTCCCCTGTTGGTGGCTGTTTGAACTGCTTCCAGTCTTTGCTGTCACCGCAGCGCTACCCGGAGTATCAGGCGATGGGTTGGGGGGCTGGAGCAGATGGCCCCTTAGAGGCTATTGTCATAGGTGCGACTAAGTTGGTGGTGGCCCACAGCGAGACGAGTGGGCAGGGACGGAGAGGAGTGGGTCCATTTGATTGATGATATTGGGGTGCATTACCAATATTTACTGATGGATTGGACACTAGTGTGTGGGAGGAAGTGGATTCCAGGGTGATCTTCAGGTTTCTGCCTGGACTCTTGGGCAGATGGCGGCTCCTCCCTTTCCCCGTGTGCTCGCCTCCAGGCAGCCTCTCCTCTCCTTCGGCCCAGGGTCCTCGGTCTCCGCAGCGGTCCTGTGCTCCATGGTACCCTCGCTGGCCCTGACATCTCTGCTGTGCTTGGGCTTCGCTGTCTGTGCCTCCATCCCCGTTCTCTCCCTCCAGTACATCACCTTCATCCTGCAAGTGATCAGCCGCTCCTTCCTGTATGGGGGCAATGCTGCCTTCCTCACCTTCGCGTAAGTGGGCTTGGGGCGCGTTCTGTAGTGGGGGACACACTGGGGCAGAGGGAAGCGTGCCGGAGGAGAGAGATTGGGAGGTGAGGGTGGACCTGAAGGTAGTCAGGTGAGGAAGACACGGCCTGGGAGCTGGTGGAGAGGGCGGTGCCTGGAGGGGAAGGCTGGTGGGCAGGATAGCGTGTTCATGTTCTAGAGTTCAGTGCCTCTCCCTGCCTCTCTAGCTGCCTGGCAAACTCCTATTCACCCTCCAAGACCCACTTCTATTCCAGCTGTCCAGGGAAGAGTCAGAAAGGGTCTTCCCTTCTTTTTGCCCTTGGCACTCTATTCAGTGCCAGCTGATGTGCATCGTCTGATAGCACAAGCAACAGCTGGCATGCACATGTGGTCTGTTATGTGCCTGTCTTTTCCTTGATTCCAACCTGGGGCACAGCCTGTGTCTGGGTCCCTACTGTTTTCCCAGGGTCCGCACAATGCTCTCTCTGTGTTCTGTGGTTCAAAAGCCTGAGTGAAGGGGAAGGGGAAGGGGCTGGTGGGTGTGGGTCGGTGAAGGCAGGCCTAGGACAGGGTTGTCAGGACCAAGTGCCAAACAAAGGCACCGCCAAGGCCAGGGCCCTACTTGCAGAATGACTCCCTACTCACTGGAAATGTTTCTCTCTCCCCAGTTTCCCTTCAAAGCACTTTGGGAAGTTGTTTGGACTAGTGATGGCCTTGTCAGCCATGGTGTCTCTGCTCCAGTTTCCCCTCTTCATCCTCATCAAAGGCCCCCTCCAGAATAACCCGTTCTATGTGAGTACTGTGCGGAGGGGCGTGGCCCTGGCCTTAGACCTGCAAGGACGCCCACGTCAGGGCCATACTGCGGGGCCCCAGCAGGGGGCGGCCCAAATCCGACTGAGGTGGTGTCTACAGAAACATTTCTGGACTTGGGTCCATCCTTGGTCTGGCTTTCAGACTGGGGTCAATGGAATCCCCTGCCTTGCGGTGGGGTACCTGAAGCCACCAGGTTAACATGGCATGGCTTCCCAGAAAGTTCATGTTACAAGCAATTTGAGAAGAAACTATTTTTTATTTTATGTGTGGAAACAAATAGACATATTCTGGAGGAGAATGCAAAATACTCACATTTCAAATGAAAACCTAAGACCTCAGAGATCTTTCCTGTTTTGGTGCGTACGGGCCCACCCTGGCCTTGGCCTTGGGGAAGCAACACGCAGTGGTTCCCACAGCTGGTTCAAGGGTCAGGGGCTCTGTACTCTCACCTTACACTTCCACGGGAGGGATCCCCCAGGGCCCAGCCTGGGTGGTGGGCATGACTCTCCAGCTTTCTGCAGGCGGAAGAAACAGGTTCACAGATGTGGGTTATGTGACACATATCCAGAAGCCCCCAGCTGAGCAAGCAGCCTTTCGACTTTGAGTTCAGTGTTCTGACCACTGCACAGCTGTGAGCCTCATTTAGAAAAGATCAGGCAAGGGTAGAACAGGACTTGAAATCAGTCACTACAAGAAAAAAGAAGGACTGAACTTCAAAACTGAGGAGGATTACTTGTGGTATCAGCTGGCTGTAACATAATATTCAGAAGATGTGTTCTAGCCCGTGCCTCCACCACCTTCCCATGTGACTGTGACCAGGTCATGGACTGCGCTCCAGGCCTGTTTGTGTCTGCATCCATGAGATGGGCATAAACTCCTCCCCTGCCCACTGCACAGGGCAGAAGGAGGAAGACTAAGTCCTTCCTGCAGGGACCACAGTGTCTGAGCGCACAGTCCAAGACGACCGAGGCAGCACTCTGCTTCCGGTGCTGTTGGTGGGTGTTGCGCCAGTCCCTGCACTTCACCTTGCCCCTCCCTCCCCCTTCCAGGTGAACTTGTTGCTGGCGCTGGGCACTCTTCTGACTCTCGTCCACCCCTTCCTGGTGTACCGGGACTGCCAGAGGAAGGAAGGCCCTGTTGTGACCACCTAGTTCAGAAGCCCTTGCTTTTCAGCCCAGAGGAGGCTTTCTGCTAATCTTTCTCGGCCTTTGAGGATCCCATGTCCAGAAAGACTTTGCCCACCCAGGCTACATGTACTACGTATCCATTGCTTTTTCTTAAAAGAAAACAGACATATTTAACTGTCAGCTAACACTCTGATCAGCAAGAAAAGAATCTCAGTGGCCAAGCTGATATATGTCATACAGGCCCGAAGTGCATGGAAGTTCTCCTTAGTTTCAGAGCAGGAAGCACTTGGCGGACTTGGCCTGACCGGCGTGATGTGATGGGGGAGGAGGTGTGTCACCTACATCTTTAGGCTTTTTGGTCCTGAAGCTGGGGACCCTGCACTGCAAGTAAATTTCTAGGTGAGGAGTGAGGTCTTGAAGGTTCTATGTGAGTACTTCCAGCCTTCAGTGGTGGCCCCCAGCGCTCCCTCCAGGCACGGCCTTGGCTACAGAAGGGCGGTGAGCCTCAGGAGCGAGGGGCAGGCAGGGCCCCTGGGCTGACTCCCAGCTCTGCTGATGATGCTGGGTGACCTGGAGCAGACCCTTCTCCCGTCTGTGCATCAGTTTTCCCATCCGTAAAAGCAGAGGGCTTGGGAGTTTGAGGTTCTTTCTGGAGCTAATGTTCCAGAAGGTTTTCAGAACAGTGAGACAGAGGCCCCCACAAAGGGCCTCAGGAACCAGCTGAAATGCTTGAAGGAAGGATTTCTGAGGAAGCCTGTGGGGGATTTTTCCTCCTCAAGAAGGTGGGTGATTATTTACATTAAGCATTATACAAACATTTTCTCTGGGGAATAATCTTATGGAAAAATAAAGCCTCTGGTCTTAAAGCAATGACTGCTCCGCCTCTCTAGGCTTTGGGGCAGGTGTGTGTGCCTGTGATCCTGAGGCTGGCTCACCTGGGGAAATGGACACTGGGGTGGGGTGGGCAAATTCAGCTGCAGTCCCGTGTGGCCGCTGGACCCACAGCGGGGCCAGGAGCCCTCAGATGGGATCCTCCTGAATGGACTTGGGACGTGGGCTTGAGACCCTCCAGGAATTCCTTCCTTCGCCTCCTCTCCTCCACCCCCCAGCACACACCTCGACGTACCACACCCCCAGCAGGAAGCACTAGACGGTATGAGAAGTCTCTGGTGAGTCTTGCTTCCGCCTCTCCGCAGCTGGGCAGGGCCGGTGACCACTCAGAATCACAATTTCCTCACTTGTAAAGTACAGCCTATCATTTCTATCCCCGAGGGCAATTGTGAGAATTTAAAGTAATTGCTACTGCCAAGCACATGGGAGAGCATGTAAGTGTTTGTTCTTTTATTTACTCATGACCAGAAAGGAGACAGGTGGCAAGGAGGGAGAAGGTGAGGGACCTGGAAAGAGAGAAGTAGATGGGCCAGATGGGAGAACCTGGAACTCAACAGGTGTCTCCTTCCACTTAGCCAGGAGAGGGTCTGGGAGAGGACCGTGTGGCCGAGGTGGCTGGCTGGCCAACTGATAGATGCACTCACTCATTCAACAAATGTTTATCAGCCCCTAAAGGCATCAGGCACTGTCCTTGGTGCTGGGATATGAAGATGTGAAGAGTCTGAAGCCAGGTCCCCTGTGAACTACCAAATGGTAATTTCCAGGGGTCTGGCAACCTGGGTTGGCAGATAGATGCCAGAGTGCTAGTAGATGGCTTTCACCCTACCTCCCTGCTGCCCCAGGACAATGCCCAGACTCCAGCCTGGGATTCAAGGCTCTCGGCACTGGGGTTCCCACCCTTCCCTGCCCTCTTCACATCCCTCCATTAGGAGGGCAGAATTCATCTCCACGGGCCGAGTTCCTGGTCTCTGAACATAATAGCTCCTCTAAGCAGGCTTGCCTCATCTCTGCCAGGGCACTGTGCCTGGCCCACTGGCGCCCTGCTCAAAGTGCCATCTCTGAAAATCTTTCCTGGAGCTCTCCAACAGCTCTGAGTTCCCAGCACTTGGTCACACCCTTCCTGGTGGCCAGTGCCTGCCCTTCCCAGGACCACATCTCAAGCTCCCGGAGGTGACATCTGGGTCCCACCTGGCTCATTGATTAATGCCTGCTTGTCACCCACGTGGTGCCATGAGGGCTTGTGGAAGGAACGATCACTGAGTGGGTTCTTTCTTGTTCGGGCCTCAGAGCCAGCTGCAAAGAGAGCACAGCATGTGGGGTTGGTGAGGGCAGCTCGGTGCTGCGGGAAGAACCGGACCGGAGAGGGGCCAGGCCGACCCCTTTCTCATCCTGGCTCTGTCAGTAGTGTGACCTTGGATGAACCATTTCAGCTCTACATCTCAGTTCCTTTATCAGTAGGATGGGAGAAATAGGCCTGCCACCCTGGACTGTTATCAGGATTAGAAAGCAACTCAAGTGCCGGCACAGGGTCAGTATTCAACAGCTCATAGCCATCATCACAGTTGATAACAAGAAATTCGAAAAGGATGCCTGACATCCATCAGCTGGTGAGTTGGATAAAGAAAAAGTGGTATATCCATAAAATTGATTATTACTAGTCAATAAAAAGGAAGGAAGTAGTGCTACATGCTGTGACATGGGAACCTTGCAATGAAAGAAGTGGACACAAGAGACCGCGTGTGGGATGAGGGCGTTCATAAAGCCGATGTCCCGACGGGGCAAATCACACAGTAGGCCGTTGCTGAGGGGAGGAGGGAGTGACCGCCAAACAGGAAAGGGTTTCTTCCTTAGGGTGATGGAATTTTTCTAAGTTTGATAGGGATGATGGCTGTACAACTCTGAATACACTAGAAGGCATTGAACTTCACACTTTAAATAAATGGTAGGTGAACTGTATCTCAATTAAGCTGTTATTAAAAAAACATGATTAAAAAAAAACCACTTCCTTAGGAAGTACAGGGAACACTTCTATCCAGAGAGAGAGCCAGAGAGGATTTCTGGGTATGAGTAAGCAAGAGAAAGAGCCCATGTGCACAGCCTCATATTTCTGCCTTTGGAGTCCCCTTCCTGCAAATTATTCCTCAGATGGGACCAGCTGCTCTTTTAAATGAAGACACAGCAACTCACGGGTTTCATGAGTTTTGATCTCACTCAGCAACAGGTTCCCAGTGCAACTCTTTACTCTGGCTACCAGCCTCAGCAGAGAGAAACTGGGGGCAGATCTGTCTCACCAACAAGCGGACTGCTGGGTGGAGCCTCCCTGGGGCAGAGGACGCTTCCATCACAAGGAGAAACACCTGCCATTTAAGGGACAGCCACCGGCATGAATTAGGAACTGGTGTGACAGTCTCCTTTCCTCAGCCCTTTCATCTTAACAGGTGAGGAAAGCTGGGCTCTGAGTGCAAGTTATGTCCGTGAGCATAGGAGAAACACCTGCCATTTAAGGGACAGCCACCGGCATGAATTAGGAACTGGTGTGACAGTCTCCTTTCCTCAGCCCTTTCATCTTAACAGGTGAGGAAAGCTGGGCTCTGAGTGCAAGTTATGTCCGTGAGCATGCAAACCAGCACAGGTGGAGCTGGCATTAAACCCAGCCCTGCCTGACCCCTAAGGTCATGTTCACTTTAGAGGTTATCTTTTCTTAGCATTCATTCTATGTAAGAAACATGTGGGGGCTGTAAAACATCAACAAGTAAAGTGCATGGAAAAGAAACACCTTTGTTAACTGTACCACTAGAAATGTCTCTGGTTAACATGTTGGTATGTTTCCTCCCTGGCATGTGACTGTGTGTCTGATAATTGAAGTGATGTCATAAGCTTTTCTTCATGTCATCAAATAGTTGTCAAAAATGTCATTGTAAATGGCTTCTTATAATTCCATCTTATGGCTATGTCACCCCTTATTTGTCCCCACCCACCCTGTCCTGGGGTTCCCCCTTATGCACATCTTGGGATCTTGGGGCTCCCCACTTCTGTTCTCCTGTGCTGCCGGGACAGGGGCCCCTGGTGGCAGTGAACCATGAGAGCAGCCTAGGTCGGTAGAGAGAGAGCAATAGTGGAAATAGAACTCTAGGGGCCCTGCTTTTGCCAGAAGAGCCTCCTTGGGAGTTTCCAAGGAAGGACAGGTATCTGTCAATCGTTGTGAATCTGGTGCTTACTCTGTTGTCTACCTGCCTCCCAGGGACGGTGACCTTTTCCTGAAAATTTGAAGCTTGGAGCAATGACTCCTGTGGTTATTCCTGGGGCTCCTTTTCCTGCCAGCCCCCCAGGATATAGATGATTCCTAAATGGGATGGGTGTGACTGGGGTGCGGAGAGAGTCTGTCCTTTAACATTCTTTGGGAGGGTGTGGGGAAAATGGAAGTTCCTCTGGCCAAGATCCTCACCTGACCCTAAACTACTTGACGATGTACCTGGCCTGCTGCTAGGCTACTGCTCCCACACCCTTTGGCAATGAGCTATTATTGACTGAGTTACTATATAGTGTCTGCCCAGTGCTCTGGGCAGAGGTGGAGATGGAGAGGGTTTGCGGACCTGCAGACTGCTGGGTGATAGACGTGATCCTAGTGCTTGACCTACTGCCGTGAGAATAAAGACAGGTATAAACCCTTTTACCCCAAGAGCATCCTGTTGTCATATCTCAGTCTCCCCGAGTTCTTAGTGAACCTGCCTGGGGCTGAAACTCTCAGGCAAGACAAAGGACACTTCTATCTGGACTTAACGTCTTGGGCTCTGGTCTTTGGTCCCACGGTGGGATGTCTGGCCACTCCTGGGTACAGCGTAGCCCATGTCACAGCCTGTGGCTGCCACAGGGCTGACTCACCAGTGGGGCTGATAAACCCAAAACCCCGGCTTGTGGTCACACCAGCCCCTATTTTAGACCAAACCTCTGCTCATAGACCCCCCAGTGTTTCATTTTCAGTGTTGCCTCCCAGGCCTCAGGGTGGATTTGAGTGGTAGGTGCATGGAAAAGGCTCCTAGCTTTGCAGGCGCTGATCAGCTGTGTGACCTTAAACCCTAAATCATGAGGACCCTGTTTCCTCCCCTGTAGTGGAGATAATAAGTACCAAAGGGCTTGTTGGGAGGACTAGAGAAAACATCTGTGAAAGGCCACTTGGCTCTGTAGTTGGACTGCTCAAGACTAGTGTCCAGCTCTTCCCCACATGAGCTCTGGGACTTAGGTTCATGGTGCCTCAGTTTCTTCATCTGAACTGCATCATGGAGTGAGAATAACTCGATGAGTTATTCTGTTAATGAGTTAATGAGTGTAATGAGTGAGTTAATGAGTGTAACCACCCGGCGTGGAGCAGGTGCACTGTGAGGGGGCTGCAGTGTCATCAGTAACATCTGTGGGGATGGTTGCCTGGGGGAGGGCAGGGCAGTTGGTGGTGACATCTCACTCCTGGTGGAGTCTCAATGTCACTGCCTTGGCTCAGAATGGAAACTACCCTGCAAGCGTTTGCCCAAGCTTGTATCTGCCAAAGGGAGCGACACAGAGTCTCTTGTACTGTTTAGAATGGGACAACTTCAAAGGCAGAAGAATGACCATCTAGTTACCTGAAATCTTAAGCCAAAGTCAGTGGAAAATATCAACCTTCATATTCAGTTTTTGTGCTATTTGTTTCTCCAGCAGTCAGTGCAGAGGATCCATGATCTCAGAAATGTCAGTCACCAGGGGTGGGGCTGTGTATTCCTTCCTTCCCCAGCCGGGGCTTGAGGCCTCAGACAGCTGGGGCCTGGGAGGGGCAGGGTCAGCCAGCCCTGTGTCTCATCTCCTCACGTTCCTGGGCTGGGTGTCCTGAACCGCCTTAACTGCTCCATGCCTTTGTTTCTTCTCCTGAGGTTGGGGTTATAGGGCCTACTGGGAGGATGGTGAGGATACATGAGGCCCCACAAGAAA